TGATAATAATTCTGCTTCACTGCAAGATAGGTCCCCGGCATGCAAATCAGCCCAGTGTGAACAAGCAGTGAGGGTCTCCTTTTGCTCTCTCCCACACTCAGGGTACCTGACAGCCTGCATGAACAGCAAGTTGTGCAGCTGTATGTGATGTGGCCCTGGCAGAGGAGCTGGGCTGTGTGATATTCATAGACTGGCCGACGTATTTTTCATAAGCAAGCAGATGTCCTCCTCAGTGAATGATTCAGTCACCTTAAATGAACAAATTATTTAGGCATTGCACATGATTTATGCTTCTATGGCAAGGTAGTATTTTTTTCTATACAGGTGTTCTGCTTAAGTAATTAATTGCCTTGCAGGGGGGGCTACATCCTACCAAGTGGCAAACTTGTCACTGTTCTTTGCCTGTTACTACATTAAAATAAAACAAAACAACAACACCAAAAAAACCACAAAAGTAAGAAAAAGAAATCACTGCCAGGAACGGTCTGTTGCTTTCTACAGCGTGTTGTGGTAGGATCAATTACTGTTGAGCAGCTACATTCATACCACAAGTATCACATTCATACCCTCCTACCCCTTCCCCTGGCTGCCAATACAAGACAGACTAGATTAGTTAATTATATCTTTCCTCCTTAATGATGGAATACTTGGAAAATTTATTGATTCTACAGAACACAATTCATGACCTAATTACGGTGATAAAACTGCAAGATTATCATCTCGCCAGCTATTAACATCTAGCGCTTATCTGCGTTAATTAGAAAAGAGATAGGTGATTTCTACGTTCTTGATTTGCAACACAACAGCACAATGAATGAGGAAGGCTGCTAAAGGTATGCCAAGCAACTTCTAGCCCTCAATCTACTCTCAGCCTTCCCAGGAAATACCAGACAGATTTAACACTTTAGCTTTGTTTCTTCAGCCATTTGAGTCATTTGCTCAGTAGGACAAGTATGTTCAATACTGCCAGTTTTGCAGAATTTCAAATGTGAAGCACGGACCTCCTTTTCTTTATCTGTCTCTTACAGAATTGAGGAGGTTAATCTAGGTTCTTGTTTTGGAGTAAGTCTTAAGTCACTATCAGTCTGGATAGAAAAAAAAATTAAAAAAGAGAAAAATGTAATCAAGATCTTGATTTCCAGAGTTAAACTCACTCTCTCCATAACTGCAAGGTAGTGTCTGAGCAAAGAAAGAAAAACCTCTTTCCTCACTAGCTCTTCACTGTGGTTTTCCTGAAAAGGATGTAGCTGCACCTAAGAACCAAGTTTCGATTTCATGGCTGCTCAGAGGACTGTCTGTTAGGATCTTGCAACAAATCTAGCAGATAAGAAACTAGGAGTTCTCCAGCCTACTCAAGGCTCATCTACACAGGAAGCTGGTCAGCAGCAGAATAGGATGTGCTTTTATTATGCGTTACCTCTGCCCCATGAGCTTCCTGCATGTCCGCTGTGACACACACAGCGCCTCAGCTCGGCTGCCCAACCGAAGTAAGCTCCTGCGCACAGACGCAATCTTCATGCTCTTTAGAAATGCCCACATGAGTTATGACACAGCTACTGTGATGCATGCCGTCTTCCCCGCGTAGCTAATCTGTTTGGTTTTAGTGTTATGATTGTTATCCTCAAGACAAGGGTGTAATTTCTTGGCTTTCTGCCACCCAGACAAGTCTTTAGCAGTTGAGACTGTAAATGTTAAAACAGTGGGCTGGTCAAGGAAAAATAGCTTTGAAGTTGAGCAAGAGTGACCAAACTGAGATTTCTAGTAATACCAGGAATTTAAGTTGCTACAGCCATACAAATGCAGAAGAAATTCCAACAGCGAGCAGAAGCTAGCAAGCATTAGGGGTCAGAGCGGCACAGAGCAGACCTCATTTGCTCACGTTACAGCACAAGTTCAATGAACCCCAGCAACCTCTCCCATCAGACGCAGATACCAAAGAAACCTCCCACTGGTGAAAGCTGAGACAGTTAATGCTGTGGGTACCACTGCTGAGGTTGCTGCTGCCTTGCCCTGCAGCACACACACCACGCACAATTACTCGCCGTAACAGGGCTCTGAGGTAAGTGTGAGTCCACACAGCGCGCCTGGTCCGTCTCTGATGCAAGGCACCAGGCCAAGCGCTCTCCATTTCACCTTGCCGTCAAAACCGGGCGGCTGTTTCCATGCAATCCGGCTTTGTCAAGCACACGACTGCTTTAAGAGCACTGTGACAGCAGGCTGATGCAGTCTCACAGTACAGCTGGCACTGGCAAAGCACGAAAGCTCACCCCATGGAAGTGCCCACTCCAGTTAGTCATTCAGATCCTGGCTGACGCTAGAAAACTTCAAGCCTGGAGAGATACCTGTTGTAAGAGACTCTTAATAGAAAAGTAACTTGAAGTTGGAAATAAGTTGGTGGGAATTTGATGGTCTGCACGTAAGGAATCTTCCGTATCTTCAAAAGTATTTGATCCATGGGCAAACAGGGTTCAAAATACCTCTGTGACATAGTATTGCCCATGTTATTTGCTACCGCTCAGTTTAAATGGTGGACACAGAGTTCTCACAGTTTGTTCAATCCCATATAGAGCTCCACACTTCTTCACCCTTACTCCAAACGATGAAGCTATAATGCCTTGCAAAGCACTGCCAGTAAGGGAAGGGGAAGCAGAAGAAGTTCACAACATCTTTGAACACCTTTATGGTACTGGGTTTCCCAGAACTGAAAGTAACAAGTAAGAAATGGAGAAAGAAAGGTTTACTTCACTTTAGAAGTTGCTGAACTGGGAAGCACTTTGTTATGTAACTTTCTGAAGTATTTCTGCTGTTACAGGGGGAACCTATTCTCACATGCTGTGAGTGATCTGTTCCCAGCGAGAGATTTTCATGACCTGTAACTCATCAGGAGGTTTTCACATTCTGCAAGCTATTGTGTTGGACGGTCAGTGACGAATCCGTTTCCTGCATTCGTTTGTCTCAGTCTCTTCCATGACATCCTCTCTAGAATTTTACTGCTTTATTGCTTACAAACACCTCCTCCCCACGCAGTTCCTGCTGGGAAAGGCAGTTCAGTGTCTCTCTGACATCTTAATGAGAAACTCATCAGCTGAGCATGCAGGAACTTATAGCACATTTAATATCTTAGCGGAAAATGCATCATCTTGTTAAGAAAAAAGCACAAAGAGGCCTCAGAGAACCACATCATTTTGCTGTTCAAAAATAAATACCTAGTCAGGAAACTAACACTACATGTACACTCAAATAACTGGACCAAAATTACATAAATATTACTAAACCCTCTAGTAAAGCATTAACTAAAAAAAAAAAAAAAGGGGAAAAAACAGATGAAAGAATGAGATCTAAGAGGAGAGCAAGAAAAAAAGTATTTTATTTGAAGCTTTATTTTTACTTTTTGCTTGTCTAGCTTTTCTCTATTTCTCAAAACAAAGGAAGCGAGAAAACTCTGCTCCTGAGAGAACTGGGTTAACAAGGTGATCCTAGTATTTTACAATCAAATTCATGGAATTCAAAAGAAACCTAAGATACTATCTCTGAAGTAAACGTGCAATAGGCATAAAAAATAGCTAGAGCTAGATCACACTACTGTCTTAAGGTTAAAGATTACTCAAGGTTAAAATCATTCCTGAAATTACACTCTTGACCCAAGTCAAAGCTGCACAAAAACAATGAAAAAGCCGCACGGTTATCAGAAGCCATGTAAAGCATGGTCCCTCTAAACGCAGCACCTGAGCTCAATGTCGTTCAGAGCTTTTTTGCTCAGCAGTGACATCAGTTGCTATCTGGACCATCACATGAGTCTGACAGAAGTTCCACCCTTTCTAACTATCCAGGAATGGTGCATCACAGTCCAGTGAGCTCACTGCCACATCAGCAGGATAATGGAGCAGGTTTCCTAGAACCCGAAACAAAGATTCCTGTGTTATCAGGGTTAAGTTATTAAGAAAAAATTTCTTCAAGGCAGAAGAAGCATGAGAACAGGAAAAAAAAAAAAAAAGATTAACTGAAATACTGGTTCTTTGAGCAATTTTGAAAAGCGGAAATTATTTTGATTTTGCTCAAAGTAAGGTCCCAAAGAGGTTACCTGGGACAACTTGTCTTCAGGCACAAAACCCATCACTTAAGTTTCCAAGCAAGGCTTGACAGGTGAAAAGAAATGAGAGAAAACTCACACAATAGTAAAGCTATCTGCATGTATCAGAGATTCAGCTCTGACATTTTTTTAAAAAAAAAGGTATTATTAACATTGAACTAATAATAATTTGTATTTTATGCCATTTGTTTCTCAAAAACCATCCAGTGAAAACTGGCAGAAGTGATACCCATTTTATCCACGGGGAAGCGAGAAAAGGAAACGTCAAGAGATCCCACCATATCTGCAAGGGGGCCGCACAGTCTCAGAGCACAGACCACGTGGATTCAGCCAGTAGGCACCACACATTGAAACATACTGTACCACTGATGAAAAATACACCTTTTTTGAGAATCACTTTGAATTAAACAAGTACTGAGGAAAGTGTCTGTTCAGGAGGAGAGGGGAAACAAATCTCAGATGAGGACAAGAAGTCAACAGTCTAAGAAGGAAAAGAGAAACTGCCACTGACTGGCATTGATCATCTTGGCGCTGGCACTAGCTTACACCTGGTGACCAGAACAGTGAAAAGGGTCAGAAGCTTTTGGCATGCTCTGTGGCCACGTGAAACATATTCATTGTGCTCAACAGATAGATCCAGTATGTAGCTAATACAGGATCAAGAAAGTTTGGAACAGTTTTCTGTATCAGAAGTATTTTAGAATCAAGTATACCTAGTACACCTTAGTAAATTAAAAAGCTGAATGAATGACTGAGAATTTGAACTCAACCAAAAGGAATCCAAAACCCATTAGACAGCTAACTCATTTAGTGAAATTACAGGCCCATTCTTCCAAGATAACAGATTAAAGCTCATAAGAATCACATATGCACATACATTCAAACCAAGGAAAATATGATTTTTACTTACATTTCAGTGGCTATGAATCCGGTGAGCTCAGACAGGAATAGAAACAGTATGAAGAGACAGCAGCAGACAGAGACTGGAAAAGAGGCAAGGAGAGGAGAAGGTTAGTTTCGCATCTCTCAACAAAGTCAAAAGCCATTTTCACACAGGCATATTATTCCCCCCCCTCACGGACATGCCACCCAGAAACACTTGAGAACTTCAGAGGAGGCCATCAGAGCAATGATTTCAATGGCATGCCACTACCCAACAGCCTGCTGGGTATCTTCTCCACCAAGACCTCCATCTCTCCATCTCCAGCACACAACGTTGGGCTGCCAGGTCTCCCTCTCTCTTGACAAAGCTGCTTCACATTACGCTTTCTTTGGAGCCCTTGCTCCAAATGTAATTTTACTACTACTAAAACCTCCAGAAAGGAAAAGGAATCAGCATCTCCTTGCTTCAAAAGCATAGTCAGCTACAGTGTTTTATGGATTGGGAGACATTTTGGCTCTTTATCAAGTTCCAAGGTTATGTGTAAGTCATCTCACAGCCTACACTACCCATTACGATAGAGCTGGTACAGCAGAGACATGGTGATAACGGGCTCATCTAGTCAACGCCTGATACTTGTCCAATTTCTCCATCTACCAATACACTGACTCTACAGAGAGGGAAAATTCTCAGTGAAGAAACTGCAGAGTACCTAGACAACAAGTCCCACTTCTATGAACGCCAACCTAGAATTAAAAGTAGGGCACCCAAAGTAACTGGCATATTACTGGTTACTTTTCATGAGGGAACGCACACAGGAGGGGCTGGACAGAAGGACAGCTGTAAATCCTACTGAGAGAGGATGATCAGAATAGACAAGGATTTGCCAACTCAAGGAGACAGGGGGGCTGCAATGTGTATTTCTATTAAATAAAATGCACAATGAAGTTCACCATGAATCACTATACAAAAGGGTAAACCAGGAAATGGCAGGCTATTCCAGGGCTGTGACAACAGTACAATCCAGCTCACCCCTCAATCCCAGAAGAGTTGCAACAACCGAGCGCTCTTTGGAACTGACTGCTTCACCATAGCCACTAATTGGGATTGAGAAATAAATATGGAAAACCCTGTTCCTCAGCTTTATTCTACAGCCTGAATATCCATTCCTCCAGGAAGATCAAGCAACAAATGGCTGGGAAGCAATTTTATCATACCGTTGTGCCTGTCCAAACTCCCTTGGCAGAGAACGCGACAGGCAAGGGAAGGAAAGTGGAGGTACTTAAAGCAAATACTGAGACAGACCCTCAAGTGACCTAAAACCTCATTCTTCAGATTAGTCATTTTATAGTTCTGAGGAAAGAGAAATGTGTTGCTTCCCCTTCCTCATCAGACTAATTTCAAGGGTGGATTAACTTACTGACCCTCTGCAAAGTGCAAGGGTTTAAAAGAGATGTCAAAAAATCCATTAGCTGGGATGAAGAAAGAAAGGAAAGGGAAAAACAAAGTCAAAGACCAGTAGAAAAATGGGAAGCAAGAGGGGATACTCATTTCTAAAGAGAAACCTCAGATAGTTACACAGTTGCTTCCAAGCCTTGGCCGTCAGGACAGAGAACACCACTGCTGCTGGTGTGATCCAGGCAAGCCACTGGCACGGGGCACCACTTAGCATGGGGGAGGAGAAAGGTCTACTTAGAGCACAGCAGCAAATTCTGGTGAGAGCATAATCAGCTACACAAAGACTACAAACAAAGTCACCAAGGCTCAAGATCTAGCTTGATTCAGTGTTTCTTGTTGTTAATCATCGAACAGCAGAGACACAGGATCTCTGATCTGTGACAGTACGCAGGGAAGAATGCTTGACATAGGGACAATCCTCTCATTACCATCCTGTGAAGCTTTCCACAGTGTCAGCTAGACCTCTCTGCTCTCCAGCACTTCTATGCAGGCTGAGTACTACTAACTGTAAATTCTCTCCTGGAGCTTTCTCTCTCTTACAATTTTTTTTTTCTATTTACATAATCAAATTATTTTTTCCTTTTCCAGTATACAAAATATTTCCTCCTTCAAATCCATCTTCCAGTTCAGCTCTTGCAACAAAGGCTCATCGTGACAACACTTATATAGGGGACAGTAAAATTCCACTAACCTGTATCTTAAAAACCCTGCAAGAATGCCCTGAAACACCTGGCAAGGACTGACTTTCAAAGCTCCTCAATGCTTTTGCCAGTCTTCAAACTGCGTAGTCAGTTTTCAACCCATAAAAGAGATTACTGAGGGTGGGCACAAGAGGCGTATGTACAAGCATGAACTGCCTGAAGGAGGTGCACAGGGAGCAGCCCCTCATTGTCTCTTCCAGCTTGGGAATGGGAGGGAAGTGGGAGGTTAAAAAAAAGAGGAGGTTTTCCTTTATGCAACACCTAACTAAACTCTGAAAATTCTTGACTATGAATGTTGAGAATGCTTAAAAAAAACAACAAAACAAACCTGTAAGATTTCAAAAAGGAATTATACATGCCCTGAAGAAGTTATCCACTGAGGGCTACTAAACAAAAGGATCCACTTCCACCTCAGGAGGTTCAGAACTGTCAACTGACCAAAGCCTGGTGAACTATTTAACCCGTCCTGATGTTCTTTCTTAGGCATGTGCTGCTGACCAGTGGGACACTAGGCTGCACAACATTTGCAACATGGCTGCTCTTGCGTTAAAATCTTCTTGTACACACGCACTTTCAGGGCAGGGGGGTGTCTTTGCTATGACTTACGTGAAAGTCTTATGCGTTAAACTGCCTCTGGAGCCAACGTTTTTTCAGATGCAGAACACGATTCTATGATGCTCTGCTCCTTAGCATGGAGCTGCAGGCATGTAAGATGTTCCCAGCAGAAGAATTTACACACAGAGTGCTTCATCTACTTATTTCATAGTGAAGGCCTTTACTTGCCTCCATGCAAATGCGCTGTTCCTGCCACCCACATTTGACAACTGTATTATATTCGGAAAAGCAGATTAAAGGCTAGGATCAGACAATTCATGCATAAAGCTTAGCTTAAACTTCAAGAGCGCTGCTACGTTCCCACAGAGCTTGAAGGACCACCTAAGATAGGTTTCTTAAAATCCTAATATGATATCACAATCAATATATCAAAGGCTGCTGGTGTCAGGCACACTGAAACACACTGCTGTTGGCTAATCAGTAATGCCCAAAGGATGGGAAATTCTGCCAAGTCTTTTTTCTACACTAGCTTTGACAACCTAACCTATTTTTATGTAGCCCTTCTGATATGTACCCTATTTATGTACATATTCCTGACTCTTCCTCCCCACCCCACAAGAAATGAAAGAAACGCAAAGTGCTTAACACATCATACAGACTGAGAATGTGGCTCCATGTCTATATTAAGGCATAAAATTAATAGTATTTATTATTCAAGGGAGCAAAGTGCTATGAAGTGCAAGGAATGAGTCTTATTACAGATGCCATGTGAATCATAACTTTGATATTTCCTGATGTGTATTTAAAACCCCAGCCCCCAAAGAGCACAGAGTATTTCTGGATAACATTACCATGTGTGCATACAACATGTGCATGCCAACTATGCATCCACACTGACCGTTAAAGAGCAGGATTGCTACAGCAGCTGTCGGAATTGCAGGCCTCTCTCTTAAGAAGTCAGACTACTCCTGTCCAGCCAGATGCCAACTGTCCCCCAAGCCAGGGCACGTGCTGCTGCTGCTGCCTACATACCCAAAGATGGCCAAGTTGTCACCACATTAGTCAGGTCTGTTAGAACAGCTCTGTGCTGGCACCACAGACACCCTACACAGGGGTAGGGAGCCCCGCAAAGACTGGCACAAGCATCTAGTGGAAGAGGGACAACAGTGATATGGCTGGCTGCGTGGCACAGGGATTGCAAAGCTGCCTGGAAGAGGAGATTTTTATTGAGAAAAAGGAATGAGTAACTGCTGCACACTTCTCAGAGATGTCCACGGGAGCGGACTTTGTTCCATACAAATCTCACTCGGTAAACTGCAGTAAATTGTTCTCGGTACCTTCATCACAGTATCTTTTAGTAGTCAGGAGGTTTGCTGCACAGACCTGAAATATCTCACATGCCACATTCACTGCAAACTCATACGTTACAGAAAACCTCAACAACCCTCCCGTTGGCTTCTGAACTTGTTTGCATTTGAGACTGCCGGCTCTTCTGTGACAAAATACCCTAACACTTACTCTTCCTGAGCTGTTTCTCTCCTTTCTAGGGGAGTTGGCCACTTCAGTCCTGGTGGTCAGGAGCAGAGCTGGTATTTTTAAATCTCTTTTCTTCTGTAATCTTATCTATGCCTTCTTCTCTAAAAAATACCCCAAACCTCTAAAAAAGGCATTTTTATAATCAAAAAGTAACAGGAGGAGTACTGTAGTAAGTCCATTCCTATTCCAGAAAACATTCAGCACCAGAAGTGTTAGTGAACTAAAGTTTCAGAAGAAATCATGTGGGAAGGACCCAAATTAGTAGTCAGCTACTATGAGCTATTTTATATCTGCTCTTTAGAACTTGGTGGGCTTAAAGAAAGCTAATATACAGTTGCAGCCATAGTCATTTCACATGTTTACTAGACCCTAAAAGATTTTTTTGAGAGGCAGAACGCCCCCCTACAGTCAAGACCTCAACGTTACGACAAGCTGACCTCCCTAAAGCATTTATCATGAAATCATGCAGCCTTCCCAGGCTTCATGTTGGCATGGCAATGGGCTGGTCTCATTCATGGCCTCCTACAACAGGTAAGATTACTGGCTTTCAAATTACAAGTCACAGGCTTGGTCAGACAGAAAGCCCATTAGGAAAGCTGCACGCAAGATCCTCACATGCAAAGCCACCACAGCTTGTTGGCTGCCTGTGTGGTTCAAAAGCTTATATCAGCCTGTCTAAAAACAGCCTGACAAAAAGAGGGAGAACCAGTTAGAGAAGAAAATCAAAGCCTGAGAAGCTGCAAATAACAATAGAGAGAAATAAGTCAGCTAATAATTTTAAGTAAGAGTCACAGCCTTCAAGCCTTCCCACAACAGACTTATCACTTGAGCTGTTTACTGCAGATCAGAAAGCCTAACACTGGATGGCCTTTGATGGTTTTTTTGTTTCTAAAACATACTCTTTTGCAGGTGATTCATAACAAGACAAATTCTCAAAGGGAGCCCAGTTAGTGTGGGAACTCGTAGTTTCCAAAACAGAAAAGAAGGCAGGATCACTAACAAGTTCAAAGTGTTCTTTCAAAACACTAAATCTCATAACACCTCTAAATTAGCGAGCAGTTTTATTCAAGCCCTTTGTTCAGTTCAGACCTAAAAGGGAGTCAACATACAAGTAATTCAGCCATCAGGAGAACAGGGAGGACAAGGACTCTCTAAAAGCAAGTAAATATTTAATGTGCTATCTTCACCAGAAGCACAGAATAGTTGAGGCTGGCAGGGACCTCTCTGGAAACCATCCCATCCAACTCCCTTACTCAAAGAAGAGTCAGCTAAAGCAGGTTGCTCAAGGCCAGGTCTAGGTGTTTTGAGTATCTCCAAGGATGGAGACTCCACACCACCCTGGGCAACCTGTTCCAGTCTTTGACCATCCTCACAGTGAGGAGTTTCTTTAGTTCACAAAGGGTTTTCCTTTGTGTCCATTGATTCACTGGTACTGACTCAGTTCTATTTGACGCCGGCTGTCACCAAGGGATATGACATCACTCACGTCAGCAATGACATACAAGGCTACTGACCCAGCTACAAGAATGGATGAATGGAGCACAGCTACTTGATCAAAGGAAGTTACTGTTCAATGGAACAGGAAAGCTGCATTAGGACTCTAATTACAGGCCTGGCAGGATCAACCCGATCAATGTTTACCAGTCCACGCAGCGCACTCATTGCACATAATTGTGTGAAATTGCATTACTCAGCCTACAGCCTCCCTCAGGAGGAGGAAGGAAGGAAAAGGGGCCCAAGGCAAGAGATTTCTATCAGTCCAAGTCTCCGTATTGATGTATGGGAGTGAGAGTGGATTGCTATCGGTGGTTCCTGACCAAGCAATTTTTCCTCTTTAAAAGCATGACAAATAACAATAAAATAAGATCCCTGCTCATTAGTTGCACCTACACCATCACACGAATCCCCTGCGTATGCTTTGAAAGAAATACGCGTTTCCCAAACCACCTTCACACCACTGGCCACCGCATGTTGCCGCCCACACTGCTCTTTCCAGATTCAGAACCTGGATTCCCTGTTTGCAGTAGTTTGGTTCCTTAAATCTCTCCAGCAGGCAAACGCCTGGGTACACTAACTGTGAATATAACCGTTATCAGTTGTTTTTCATACTGAGGGAGGCGATGCCTATAAGAGACAGGTAAAAAAAAATCAGCAGTCACGCCCCCACCAGTGTCTGGAGTAGACTCACAGCTTCTGTTCACAGGAAGACACTAGCAAAAAGTCCTTTAGCTACTTCAGTAGCTAGCAGAGTGTGTATTCCAGCACTAGCTTGTAGGAGCTCCCTTTCGTTATAATACTTTTTCTGCTGAGACTCTGAATCCATGCAAACTACTCTGCCGTTTAGTACAACCTGACAGACTGGGCAAAATGAGCTCTCTCAGGAATAAAGGACACCCTTCTCAGTGTTTAACATCCCTTAAAAAAAGATTCTCTGGAGACAGAGAAGCTAAACGATCTTTAATTTTAGGCCAGGGGTATGCAAGGACATCAAAAAGAAGTGTTACTTACTAATAGCCCCTGTGTAAGTTGGCTGTGTAAGGTCTTTTGGCACCTTCCTGTAGATGTCAAACCTGAAAGAGGAAAAGCAACAGCCATAAAACAGGTGGAACATTTCAACACATTTCATGTCCCCACAGGGATAAATGATGCTGAAGTTTTTCCATCCAGCTTTCCAACGACATTTTTTCAGTTCGCAGAAGGATATGAGAAGGAAAAACAAAACAAAACAAAAAATCCTTTTTCTTTTGTACAATTATGTAACCATGCTCCTTCTTGGCTCCAATTTCCACCGCATTTCTCTCCGCCTCCCTCCGCCTTGCTGTCACATAGATCTTTGCAATCTGAACCGTGAGAGATGCCAGGAAAGAAGTCACGCTGGACAGGTTTACAGACCACCGTAAAAGGAAAAGGCAACTCTAAAGACTCCCAAAGAGGCCTGGCAAAAAAACAGTGAGACACAATCTATATTGTTCCTTGTAGTTTGTGTCCTGCAACAGCCAAAAATTGACAATATTGAGGTCAGAAAAATCAAGGTGCTGAGGCAAAAAACCTACCCTTGGACACTGGATACAGGAGAGACATTAACCTAAGAAGTTTGCTACACCCCCAGCAAAATCCAGGTTAATAACAGACCGTTGTTTTGATTCAGTCATATCTTTTAATATCCATATGGCTCAGCTTTCCTATTTTAAACTCTCCATGGTTAAACTTTCACTGTCCTTATGATGTTAGCTGTATTATTTCCTACAACCTTCTGTTACTGCATGTCCAGCCGCAATGCAGCTCTGACATCAGTTTTTCCACCACTCAATAAAAATTAATTAATGCATTAAAAACACACGCACACCCTAGAGAAGGAAGTGACTGGTTGTACCCCAGAATAGACTTTTTTTGATATACCACATGTGGGTGAGATTTGATGCTTTTTCCAGCCCAGGAGAGGCATGAGAGACACCATACTGGCTTCCAAATCGCTATTCTATCCTGCACCACCATGAAACATCCCCATGTTTATTCAGTAGCTCCTACTACACCAAATGTTATACTGAGAGTTTAAAAACTACATCACCTTTCTTCACTCTTCATCTGCTGAGATCACTTAAAATTCGGAGACACTCCGGGTGAACAAACTAGCATTTGCCTTGCGTGAGATCAGAAGGACATTGCCACTGTGCTTTATTCAGGAGTTGAAGCCAGAGGAAGGAAGGGTAGGAGAGGGAAGGACAGCAGGTTTAAAGATTGTTCACCTGCCCAGCCCAAGTCCTCAACAACTTATGTTCCAAAATCTCACTGCAACACACTTGACAGAGCACAGCGCACAGGATACGCATGCAACCATGTGTCTTTGTGACTCTATTCACTGCCATCTCCTAAATAGATTAGTAATATTCCTGAACCAAACAGTCCATTTATGGCTCTCCAGCTGCCCTGAGAACATCTGGAAAATGCTGTTTACATTCTTTCCACATACACCAAAGCAACAGCAGCAGCGGATGGTAAAGCAACCCAGAGTAGCTGATGACTTCATGGTCTCACAGGCAGAGGAAGTAGCTGATCGTGCCTGCTCACAGCCCATTAAACGCTGAAAGCTGGCGTCGTCTCGCCAAAGTCACAATAATAGATCAACAAGGCTAAAAAAGCTGAGAGAAAAAAAGAGAGAGTTATCACATGAACACGCAAGAGCTGCTGAGTGTGAGTGAACAATTAGAAATAGGAAATAGCTCTATGCTGGATTCAGTAAAAACAGCAGCCTGTGGATACTATAAAAGGAAGTTTGTTCTTACAATGAGAAATATTTACTAGTATGACGACCTATCACAGGATTAAAAAAAATAAAAATCTTGCTATTTAAATAACTCAGTGGAAAGCTGATGTCATGGCAGGCTTCTCTCCTCTAGGACTGTCATTTAATCCCGTAAGTAACACCCAAATCCCACAAATTTTTACATGGTGTAAGTAAGCTAGGCAAAAGACACTACAGCAAGTGTTCAACGGCTTCCAGCTACACCTATCACCTGGCTTTAAGTGCTTAAAAGACAGGGCATCCCCTCTATGCTATTCTGTTTCCCATCTCTTCCACCATGATGCTACATTCCCTCTCTCTTCCACTACCATGACACACATCTAACAAAAGCTTTAAGCAAGTCTCTGGATCTGCTTTGCCTGGAGTTTTGAGAACTCTTGAGTCTGTACTTACAGGCTCAGGCCTTCCTGCAAGCACAGCAGATTCGCAACAGTTGTCACACAAGCACCTTAACACACTTAAGGACCGCTTAAGGTATGAGCACAGTGAGCATACAGAGCTTGCCAGGCAAAGAACATCAGGCAAACGCTGCCCTAGACTTGAACTTACAGTCTAGAGGCACATACAAGAATACAGAACAATCCAGGAGAACTGAATGAAGCTTTAATGGCTTTGTTTTCTAGAAATAATACATTTTTAGAAAAGGGCAGACACTACAGAATAACACAGAATTGAGCAGACAATGTATACAAAACAGGCAACAAGAGCAGACTGGGTGGTGGGAGGAAGGAAGAAAGCTCAGGGGAGATCTTAGGGATGACTACAGGAGTTTGAAGGATGGCATCCAGAACCTGACTCAAGCAGCAGAAGGCGAGGCAAGCAGGGTAGATGTATTTAAGCTCACAAAAGGGTGCCAAAACAATCGTAATAACATTAACAGCAAGGAAGCAGAAAAAGATAAGTTTGGAATAAAGACAAACACTGCTGGCTAAATTTTGCTCACTGACACATGATACCAGTGAGTCTGAGAGAGTACTAGGCCAAAAGAAGGAGGACTGGCTACATGCAAGTAGCCTGGCAGATCACGTGTTTACTTGGAAAAAACATGCTCTGGATTAGGAGGGTTTATACTTTGGCAAAGGAACAATACTCTTCAGGGTACCAGGCATCCTCCCATAAAGCATCTGATACCAGCCACGGCTTGAGAAAATGCAATTTATCTAGTCAGATCCAGGATGGTGAGAACTGCAGTTGGGTATATATGCCTTCAGAGAAGGGCAAGCTAGAAGTCCAAAGGGATAGCAAGACATCAGACTTTGAAGAAATTATGGAGATACTGGTATGGCCAGGGAACAGAGCTGTTTTGTTACCTCCGATTTAAACTCCAAATTAGGAAAATATGCAGAATGCCCAGGATTCAATGACAGCTTGAAAAATGTGTTTGTGAGACATCACAGAGATGAAATCCCAGCAATAAGTTAAGGATAGAACCCCAAAGAAGGTCTTAGTAACTACAAATCATTAATAAATAAGTAAATCAAGCAAACTTCTCAAATAAATCCACAAAGTTGACAAGAGTTAGTGTAACAGGAGACCCTAAGCCCTGAGAAATCAGAAATTTGTGAAAGCCACAGCTCCTGTCAGACCTAAGGGTTAAAAATCTGAAATACCTAAAATTTCTATACTTCACTAGGCAACCCCTTCTTCCTCTGCCACTGGCTTTCAGGGGATCACTTACACTGTCCTGGAAAGAAAAAAGAATGAGGATTACACACCACATACTATTTGTAATGTATAAGGGAGGAGGCTGTGGAGTTTTATGCATGGTAAAGGGGAACAGGTTTTACTTGCCCTCAGGCCAGATGTTCCTGCAGTAAGAATTCCAAGAAGCCTCCGGGTTCCTGAGGCATTGGTCACTTGGAAGGGTATTTGTACCCTGGGAACAGAGAGGAACCTCATGCGCTGTATATTGCAAACGCTGCCTTACAGATTTCTGATACTGGCACATCTGAAGCAGTGGAAGGTATTACTAATGCTGGAGGAAGAGTGGATGTTCAGAAAGGTTATACCAGCCAGCTCATAACACACCGAGACACACTGTACCGCACTGTGAATATCCAGCTGGAAGTCTTGTATTCATATGCCAGACAACCATGAGAAACCAGGACGTAGATTTACAGTATGTTCACTGCCTCACAGTAACTGCTAAGTGAACTCTCTTAACCTGCAGTAACTGTGCAGCAGTTTACTCTGTTTTCACTCAGGGATACGTTACTTTACACTTACGAAGCATGCACATGTACAGTTTCCACAGGACAGCCTGCACGCTATTTATATACAGCATTTGGCAACTTTCTTCCTTTGCTCAGAAAGACAAGACTTGTAAGGCGAAGCAATATCTTTGAGTTAATCAACTGACCTAGTTGCAGAGTGGAAACAACAAACTTTCTGCTAGGAAAGTTCTTCCTCCAGGTCATACGTATCCTCATAAAGGGAAGGCTGGACCTTGCAATACCCAGAATACAAGGCTAAAGATAGAACTAGGCTGTCATCAGTATAACAAAGGAATTTCCTGACACATCTAGTGTATTTATTGTCTCTTCTTTCAATGGAGAGCATGGTTGCAAACAAAGAAATAGAAAAAGGCTGTTCGGCTGTTTCGCAGGGAACCAACATTCACAACTGACAGGAGGGAACACTACAACACTTATTTCTCAATCCAAGTCTGAAACGACATAACAAAAAACCTTCTCACCTTCCTTATAGGAATGTCGACAAACGGGTGAAACAGCATTTTAAATTCCTAAATAGGTTCAAACTGAGAATTCACAGACCTAAGCCAGCGCTGAGGCAGAACTCCGTCTGCTTGATGGATGGATTTGCAACGGTCCTCTCAGAAACATGGAAATCACACATTTGGTCTTATCTTACTGCAGTTGCACAAGCAGACGGCAAGGTAAAATTGTAGATGGGTGTACATCAACGGAACCAAACAAAAGGATGGCAGATTTCAGGTGCCAGTAAGTATCAGAAATACATCAAAATCAGTATCTAGACTTATGTGGGCTGTTGCCATTCAAAATGATTTTCTTCAGTCTGAAGGATACGATCTTCCTTTTCACTTTTCAGGATCTAGAATCACAGAAAACATCAAAGTGCCTAACAATCCAGAGCCAGATGCAGTAGATGTCACCAGAGAGGTCAACCCCAACAGAATGAAGCAAGTTGACATGGTATGCCCTGGGGTGATTCCTGACTTTCCTTTCAAATCTATCTGATTGACAACACAAGATGGGTGACAAGGAGGGCAGAAGACGTCTACCCAAA